TGAGGATCACATGTGATCCCCTTAGGGCTGGTCTGGGAGGGCCCACGGCCAGGGACCTAGAGCTAAAAGGGGCTTAGAGATCACTTGGTATGTGGATGGTTTCCAGAATTTTTGATTTTAACTATTAATAAAATAAAATAAAATAGAATATTTGGACCAGAGTGAGCAGGTAAGGGCATAAAAAATTAGCATACAAAAGACTACAACCTACTATTGTTTTTACCTCATAAAAGAAAAGAATCTTAACCACCCTGCTTAAAAAAAAGGAAGGAGGGCATAATATCCAAATAAATTTAGCTTTGTAAAAAACTCTAAATATTGCCTTTTCTGAAAACCAATGAAAACATCACAGACCAGTGTTAGGGAATCTCGGATCTTCACGCCATGCCCTTGCTTTATGGATGGGGCAACCGAAAGCCAAAAGGTGAAGTGACATGCCCAAGGTCACAGTGGCTCCAATGTCTCATTGCTATCTAGGAAAACACATGCCTGGACATAAGAGATCTTTTCATGTGGCTGAGACAGGTGCCCTGGGCTGGGACTTAGGAAATCTGAGCTCTACTTACTCCCAGCCATTTGCCCTCAAGCCATACTTTCTGCCTTTTCTGCTTTTCTCAAATAGGGATGATACTTGCCCCCTCACTCAAGACGGGCTTGAGAACCTAATGCAAGAAGAGCTTCAAAAGTGCTCCGGAGATGCATACCAGGGTGTTTAGGAGTGAGATGGCTCCATGGCTGTAATTGAAAGTATTTCAGGCAAGAAAAATAAATGAAACAAAAATGGCAACATATTAACAATTGTTACATCTTGGTGATATTACATCTAGGTGACAACATATAGATGGGTATTTAGAAACTGCTATTCTCTCCACTTTTCTACATACTTGAACATTTCATAATAAACGTTTCATCATTTTTAAAAAATGCTCTGGCAAGGCGAATGGAAGGGATGGTGTTACTCACGGAGAAGATGCCCTCAGTGATGTCCAAGTCCTTGGCTCTGAGGCCAGGTGGGGCCCACCAGTCTGGGAGATGGAGCAGTCCACTCTTCACCAGCCTTGGGCACACAGAGTCATGGCCAGGAAGTGATTTTGGTTTCCCTGCTTCCTCCCCAGGCAGTCCTGGCACCTGTGGCTGGGCAAGGGAAGCCTCCTGCACCTTCTCAGGGCAAGGCACCATCTAACAGACCTAGCTCTGCTGCAGACGCCAGCACTGGGGATAGAGAGGGCTGCCTACCACAGCCAACCGGTGTGGGGGACTTATGAATATGCAGATAGAGGCTGGAGCTGGTTGGCTGCCCCCCTGCCATGTTCCACCCCCTCCCCAACTCAGATGCCCAGAAAAGCCAACTCAGAGAGGACCTTCCTGAAATGCCATCTCTCTGTCCTTGCCTAAAGATCTTCACAGCCTCTTGAAAATTTGGGGACTGGATTACCCATCTTCTCTCATTGCACTGGCTGGCCTCCAGCAAGTAGCTCCTAACCTTTGCCTCCAAATTCCCCAGCGAGGCAGCTACGAAGTGAACATCTTTCTTCCTGTATCCTCCTGAGGATACTGAAACCAAACCAGCACCAAAACATGGCATCTCAGCTCAGCAGTAAAGAAAGTCTTCATGGCTTCTCCCTCCAGCAGAGGCTGTTTGCTAGACCCAAAGCCCCTATTCCTGTCAGAGCTGGGAAGAACTCACTGGCCAAATCATCTACCCCCAAACATCACTCAAATTTTGCCATCTTCTTTAATTTGGGAAGTGGAGTGAATGTTCCTAATACAGCAATGAAAATCAATGAACTACAGCTCAACTAAACATGGATAAATCCTCAAAACATAATGCTGAGTAAAAGAAAGTCACAGAATGATAAAATAAAATAAAATAAAATAGAATATTTTTATTTTCTATGATTCCATTTATGTTACTTTTAAAAATAGGCGAAACAATGATTTTCATTGAGTATGCACTTATTCATTATTTTCAATTACACCTGAATGAAGAGATAGACTGATAGATAGAATCTAGATATTATGAGTAATACAAAATGAATATAGGGTATAGTGTCTATTTTAAGGAGCCCAGACATGGAAGGACAGGCTACAGCCCCATGTACCATCTGGTCAGTAATCTTCAAAAATATATAAGCAAGGATGTGAATGTATAGTTCAGACCACACATGAATATTGGGGAATTTCGGGTAAGAGAAGAGAACACTGTGTGTATTATTTAAGGTGAGCTGCCCACTCTGTCGTGTTTTTCATAAACTGAGCCATTTATTCTTTCTAGAAACAAAATTTTTTTCTTACATTATTTTGTAAGTAAGTACATATTTTCCTCAATTTAAAAAATAGGCAAAGCCAAGTACAGTTTAGGACACATGTATTGAAGTTTCAGTGAAAGTGAGGGGATGATTAATCCATAATTCAGTACAGCAGCGGTTAACTTTGGGAGGATCGGCAAGGGAGGACCACTTAGGGCTTTTCCATTCCTTAAACTCAGTGGTGAGTTTATTCCTTTTATTATTTTTCTTTACACATATGCTTATACACCCTTTTGAATGAATATTTTACAATATGCATCCTTTGAACCCTGCCACAATGTATAAATAAACTCCTGTCCCAATAGATGACGTTATGTCCTGGGAGGCTCTAAATACAGAAGAGAGTGCAAGCTTATTGGGTTGCACATTGGACTCAACAGAAGCTCATAGGTGAATCTCAGGGAAATCATTTCAACCTTTATCCTCTGAGAGGGACTTTGCATGCTACTGTGCATGTTGTAACATCTAAGATTAACCTGGGTGATCACTGAAACTCCAGGAGAAATGCTTTGCTATATCATCCAGACTTGAGCTTCTAACCCTTGCATAAGAATCTCACAAATTAATTACATAAAACTGAAAAAATCAAGTAGCTATTTAAGAAATATTAACAGCAACCCCTGCAAGGCATTGCCATAACTCTCGATTATTGTTCTTAGACTCTTTAGCTGGGTCCAGCAGTGTCCTAAACAGGGCAGTACTTAGTCATTCCACTAAGTACCGTTGTATTTATTGAGTACCTACAGAATACCAGGCACTGTGCTCTATGCAGAGGATCCAGGAAAATAGAAGAAGACCTTGGAGATGTTGCTGGTTTGGTTCTGGACCACTGCAATAAAATGAGTATCATAATAAAGCTAGTTGTAATCTTTTTGCTGGTGGAAGAGGGTCTTGCCTTCAATTCGTAAAAAAAAAATCTGTAAATTACAATAAAATTAAGTGCAATAAAACGAGGTATGCCTGTAGAGAGTCATCTCTTTCCTACTGCCGCTTTGCTCAATTCATGAGACAGACAGGTCAATAAGACATTACAATGTAATGTAGAGATATACACATAATGCTTTGGAAACACAGAAAAGTTAGGTGTTAACTCTGCCCAAGGGGATTAGGAAGGGATTCAAATGAGGATGATGATTAGGAATCCCTAGGTAAATAAGATTTGAGAACAACTCACACAAATATTTAAAGGAGTGAGAAGCTCATTGGGTCTATGGCCTGTAGTGCAGTAGGGCTAAAGCTCAGCACTTGTGAGAACTGGGGTGGGGAAGGGGAGAAGGTCACAACATAGCCCAAGGCCAGGTTAGGAGGCCTCTAGTCAAACTGAGGAGTTTGGACTTTATCCTACCAATAGGGAGGAGCAATTGACTTTAAGCAGAAGAATTCAGGATTAGATTTGCATTTCAGAAGGATCTTTGACATAGGTGTGGAGGACGGGTTAGAGAAAGTGAATGGAGGCCCAAGGCTGATTAAGAGGTTTTTAAAATAATCCAGGTAAAGGATGCTGAGGACTTGATGGGAGGCAGCAGGACAAGAATGTTCTATTTCTAGTTAGGGCTTCCGCCCACCCCTCCAGAATTCCAGTGGAAGTGCTTTCAGAGTTTGGGTGAGCGAAGGCACGGTAAAGGTCCCAAGGACCAGGCAAGATAACTCACCTAAAGAAATGAACATGAGTAGGAACAAGTGGCTTGCTCATTCATTCTTAATTTAGCCAGAAACTTATAGAAAACCTTTTCTATTAGGAAGGTGGGCTATAAAGGTGAACCCCCAGCGGCCCAGGGATTTAAGGAGAGAGGAAACTAAAGAGAGGAAGTGTGTGCTATGTACTTTCACGTTGAAGGTAGTGACAAAATGGTCTGCCCAAAAGCTGAGAGGCCGAAATTCAGCCCACAAATATTTATTGCCCACCTAACCTATGCCAATCTCTGTTCTAGGTACTGGGGATACAACAGTCAATAAGACAGACAAGGTCCTTAATCTCATGGAGTTTATATTCTAGGAGTAGAATGACAAATGAACAGCCTCCCAAATGCACAAGATGTATGGAGAAAAATTAGCCTGGCTGGAGAGTTTGAGTAGGGACTGGGGAAGATTAGGAGATGTCTTGCAGAATTAAGGCTACTTGAAGATCTTCTAGGTAAAGGGCAATGGGAGCCCTTTAGAGCAGGGGTTCCCCAAGCCCCCTGGCCCAGTACCCCATCAATGGCCTGTTAGAAACGGGGGCGGGGGGGGGGCACCGCAGGAGGTGAACAGCCAGCCAGCCAGCCAACAAAGCTTCATCTGTATTTGCAGCAGGTGCTCAGAGCTAGCTTTACTGCATCAGCTCCACCTCAGATCATCAAGCATTAGATTCTCATAGGAGCACCAGGCCCTGATTTAGAGGATCCTTGGCGGTTTTGTTTCCTTGTTCAAGGGTTAGGAAGGTAGAGAAGTGACTATTGCTTTTTTTATATTTGAGGAACTTGAGGCTCAAGGAGACAATGTCATTTGCCCAAGGCCACACAAGTGTAAGACCGGGCAGGCATGTCTGAGTAACCGGCTCAAAGATCACCCACCCAACAGCTGTGGGTTTCCCCGCTCCTACCGCTGGGCTGAGGCTCGGGCTGCTCGCCCGCCCATGGGTTCCCCTCTCCCGCCAGTGGTTCGCCCGAACACCCCTCCCCGCCGGCGGGTGCTGCGGCCCGCCCCACTTCCGGTCGTTGCCGGGCCCTATATCCGGTGTCCGCCCGCCCTCGGCTCCGCCGCCGCCACTGCAGCCGCTACCGTGATGCTGTCTCGGTCCCGCTGCGTGTCCCGGGCATTCAGCCGCTCGCTCTCCGCTTTCCAGAAGGTACGGTGCGGTCTGGCCTGGCCAGGGCGGGTGAGAAACCCGCCGGTGGACAGACGAACAGCCCGGGGGCGTGGGTAGGGGCGCGGCGGGCTGGCCAGGCCAGGCACCAAGGGCACCGGGACGCGGAGGCCGCGGGCTGGGTGGCCCATGGCCGCCGTTGCCCTCAGGGCCGTTTTGCGGAGCTCAGCGGGCCTTCGGATTCCCGGGACAACCGGCACCCGGTCTCCTGTTGTACCCCACCCTCCGCGCCCGGGCTGAAGAGCCGTCCAGAGCCGCGCCCGCCCCGACACGAGACTCAGTGTGAGAGGAGGTGCCGTGGAGTCCCCCAACGGAATACGAGGGCCCGTCCCCTCTCTTTTAAAGTCAGTGAGTGTCAGTCCTGTTGGGAAGTTGAGGTGTTTGGCAGGCTCAGTGTGCTGACAGAGAGCCCTGGCTGTTGCATTTTCCTTTTGGAGTCACGAGATTCACCTGTCACCAGCACCTGGTCAGCTTTGAGTCTGTACTTAAAAAGCTGTTTCTTTCCTCCATTCATCTTGGGTGACGTCGATAATATCTTCTTTCTCAACAGGGGAACTGCCCTCTAGGGAGACGTTCCCTGCCTGGTAAGTTCTGCCCTTGCTGTCACCTAAAATGTTCTCCGGGGCAGAGCAGTATGTGAGGAAATCCGGGTGCCTATGTTTCTCCATGCAGTGTTTAGATAGGAGTGAAACAAAATGCTTATTTAGTGATAACAGCCATCATTTATTCATTTAGCACGTAGTTACTAAGTAAGTATCTACTGCGTGTCAGGCACTATTGAATGCACTATAGGTACTCTCTAGGGTTCTAGCAATGGGCAGTTTTTGCCCTCCTGGAGCTTACAGTCTGGTGGGAAAGACAAAGTGTGAATTGCTAAGCAAATAAACCATCACAAATTTTGGTTAAATGCTGAGAAGGAAACAAATGAAGGTGGACAGAAGAGTTCTCTTTAGTAAAGGTGACCTGGAGGATGTGACAGAAGCCATCCCAGTGAAAAACAGAAGGAAAGGGAATAGCATATACAAAGTCTCCAAGGAACGAAAGAGCTTGGCAGTGTTTTGGAACTGGGGGGAAAAAAGTGATTTGACCAGAGCATTTTGGTTAAGGGGATAGAGTGGCATGAGCTAGAAGGTGGTGTCGAGACTACAGGAAGGATTTAGATTTTATCCCAATAATACTTTTTTATGCCTGGAATAAATATTTGTTGAATGAGTCGATTTTATTATAGGATTTCTGAGTGCTTTCTATGCATTTTTCAGTTAATCATCAAGAAACAGTACAAGGAGTATTCTGTTTTACGTATGCAGAACCCAAGGCTAAGAGAGGTTAAGTGCCTGGACCAAAGTCACTCAACCTTGGTCAAGCCAGTTCTGTTTGACTTCACAGCCTGAATTCTTAAATCCACCATGTTATCATTAACTCATGTACTCAACAGATCATTTACTGAGTTCTTACTACCTGTTAGGCACTGTGCTAGGCAACAGAAATACAGATGGTCTCTATCAAGGATATTATGTTCTAGCTGGAGGGAGAGCAAATATACATTTATACACAGGACATAAGTACATTGTGATTACTACAGAGAAGAAATGCAAGGTGTAGTGAGAGGGTAGGATGATGTAGCCCAGCTTGGGAGGTGGAGAGTGCAGTGGGAATGTCAGTAAAGGCTTCCATGAAGAAGTGACATTTAAGGCAGGACGTAATACATGGGAGTTAGCCAAGAGCACGATATTCCAGGCAAAATGAGTTGTTTGTGCAAAGGTTTTCAGGCAAGAAGGTGCTTGACTGGTCATAGAAATAGAAAGGAAGCCTGTCTGGCTGGAAAGGTAGGGAGGTCTGGACAGGGTAGGAATGTGTAAAGTTTTTGGACTTTATCCTAAGAGTCATGAGAACATAGGCGCCTTAGCACAGTGTTAACTTATAGAGGACACACAATAATAAATAGATTTTTAACTGAGAATCCTGAAAAATGTCAGTAAACATTTTCTCCATTTTATAGGTTGGCAGAACAATGGAAAAAACCTTGTACTTGAGGTTTTGCATTGAGGCTTAGGGCTTCACCTTGGGGTAATAACATAACCTCCAGAAGCCCTACTTATATATGAAATGGAACTAATGGCAGATGGTCTTTCCACTTCAGGGAGTGGTGAGACACAAAAATCAAAATGAAGTCATTTTGTGAAAGCTTTTTATAAACCCTAAAGCGCTATACAAATGAACTTGCTGTAGGATGAACTCTAAGTTGGAATCAGGGTTCTAAAAATCAGCATGGGTTGTTGTTCTTCTAGCTCAAAGACATGCTATCCTAGGGATTTGTATTCCAGAGTCATTGGCTGCTAGACATAGGTGACTTACTTGACTCTGAAACCCTGAGGATGTTTTTGGGAAGGAGGGCACAAGAGAGGTCTGTCTCCCATTTGGTGTCTTCTGAGCCCATGGTTCATAAAGACTTCTTAATAGATCTAAAAAAAAAATAAGATATATGAAAGAATATATTCAGGCGAGGCAGCTGTAGTAATTGTCAGCTGGGGAAGTCCCTATTTTGATGAGGACTGTGGGCAGAAAGGGGCTCCCACCTGTTGAGTGTCATCAGCATGAAAGACCTCATTAAACTGAAAGGAGGGATGATTTGCTCAGCCCTAGGACAAGCTGGAGAGCCTGGGCCTAAAGTCGCCCAGTCTTTGCTACTAGGATTCAGGCAATAAGACTTCCAGCTTAGTGCATTTTAGGTTGTCAGGGAAACAAACCCAGACCAAACATTCTCACTGGCCCATGGCTTCTCTCAGATTATGCTGTGTGTATCACAGGATAAGCCATCATCTGTCTTTCTTAGACTTCAATTGTATTTGAAGACTTGGAGAGTAGAGACATTATGAAAACATGTAGGGATAAAGTTGATAAATTTCAAGTTGATAAATTTTAAGCAGATTATAAAACTGCTTCAGGCTATGCCCTTACAGTTCTTCCCTTTCCTCCTCAAGCACGTACCCACTCTCAACCCCACATACCTGTTGTTCTCTACTATTATGATTACTTTGGTGGAAAAGTTTGAGAAGCAGAGTTCTGAGTGATTATTATATTGTTGCCTGTAGTTGATCCTGCTCTGTCTCAGAGTTAGGGGGTGAACAGACTTTTCTATTCCCAGCAGGTATCCTGTATAAAATAAGAGTTGTTGGTTGAGAGTTGTTTTGTTTCTTCCAGGGGTCTCCTTATGTCAGGGACCGGGTTACCCTGACAGCAGGAAGATTGTGTAAGTATCACTGGGAGCACAGATAATGAGGCTACGGGGTATTTAAGACACCAGTTCTATAGTTGACCATTTGCTTTCTTCACTGGCTTCCAAGGCTGGAAATCAAGGTGTTTATGTTGAGTCCCTAGACCTAACCTTGATGTTAATTTATAATATGTGATGTATCTTGAGCTTCCGCCCCATGTCAAGTGGTGGACCAGGAGTGTACCTGTCTTCAGATGTTTAGATTATAATGAAAATGAAGTTCCAACACTTTTTTTATGGGGATAGATATAGAAGGGCGCCTTAAATATTCTGGTTGGATACAAGTGCAGCCGAAGGACTGGAGGTTACACTTACTGTGGAGATTGAGAGCATCCTCTTGGTGTAACAATTATTCATTTTAGAAACAGTAAAAAGCAAAAGACTAGTCAGTTGAGTCCTGGGACTCTGACTAGTTTGGAGGGAATGCTATTATTGCATAATGCCAAGTTTGGAGAAAAGGCCACCCATGTGTGTTTCAGATTAACTTCTGCTTATGAATATTGCTTAATGCTACTTTACCTTCCAAGTATTTTCAAGGTGGCAGTAAGAGGATGCTCTCTAGTTACCTATTAAACAGCTATCAAACTACTTTCTCTGCAGGGAAGATCTTCAAAATGAAAATTTGTTAGTTGCTGCTTCACTGTGCATCACAATGGGATTTTTTTTTTTTTTTTTTAAGAAATAATGCACTCAGTACTAGAAGTATAAATTACTCACTTATTTCTGGAGGGCAATTTGGCATTCAGAAGTCCTTGAACTGTATGTACCTTTTGATCTAGCAATTTCATTTCTAGGAATCCATACTGTAGAAGTCCTGGTATACTTAGATTTCTCTTAGAATGGCCAAACTACAAGAATTGGTTAAACTATGCCATATTAATGTGTTCACACTATGATAAGTAAGAAAAAGCAGGTTATAAAATGATTCCATTTTCTACTGTCTGGTATAATCCCATTATAAATTTCCAAATATTCTACAGTGAACACCTAATATTTTTATAATCGAAAAAAATAGAGATTCCTAATGTGCTACTCATCTGCAATTTCATTGAAAATTGGAGCAACCACAAGTCTCTGCAATAAATACAACAAATAACTATTCAAAAGTATTTTTTAAAAATCCTAAACTTTGAAGAATAAGATTACACATTAGATTAGGCTGTCACCCTCATAACTCTTTTTGTGTTCTGTATTTTTTCTGTGAATAAGGTACCCACTTTATTTGAAAAACCTTTTATCGTAAAACTTTTTGGTCTTATGTTTTTAATAGGTTATGCATTTACATAGTTCAAAGGTAAAAAGTGTCCATGCGAAGATTTTATTCTTGTCCTCCAGCACCACCAACTTCCTATTCCCAGAGGCAGCCAGGGCACCAGGTTTTTGACTGTCCTTATAGAGCAGTCTCTGCGTTATACGTTACCCATTGGTTCTTGCCCACGAGCATGTACTTATACATAGTTATACATTTTACACGGAAACTTTGTGTTTTGTATTTTTTAACATAATTTTTTTCTTGATTCTGCACAGACCTTATAGTTATTTCGACATTATAAAAACAAAACACCAAACGGCAACTTAAATCTTTTACTTTCCTATTTTAAAGGTGCTTGGTGTAGAATATTCAAACGGTCCTGAAGTGTGGAAAGTGAAAGTCCTTTTCAGTCCATATCACTCTCCCAAAATGTATATATATGTAACAGATAACCAAAGATTGTGTGTGTGTGTGTGTGTATGTGTGTGTGTGTGTATTATATCTGCTCTCCCCCCTCTCTTGAGGTAACTACTGTTAATGCACACAGACAACCTTTCTCCGATTTACATTGTTTAGATTTAGTGCCACATCAAAAAAATATCTTGATCTTTTGAGATTCCTCTTGAATAAGTCCAAAGTGGACTGATGTGCTGCCTCGTAGCAAGAGAACAGACTAGGAAATACCATATGAGTTTTTTGGTAGGGTTCCCCACCCCTCGTACCTTGTTTTACTTACTAGTTAACTGTCCTGTCTTGCTTCCTCATCTGATCTAAATCAATAATCCTGCTGTCAGAAATTCCATTGTATGTGACGCAATGGCATGTACCCAAAGGGCATGCAATTTATCTTACTTGGATTTAGTTTTTTTTGTTGTTGTTTTAAAAACCTATTAGGAAGCTAAGTCTTTTGGTGACTGTGCAAAAGGGCCAAGATGCTATCTTTTTCTTCAGAGAACCAAGTGTAAGTCTATTTTGTGAGAGCTGGTATTTCATTGCAGAATAGGGTCCTGGACTCACATAAGGAGCTCACTATTTAGGACACCCAGGGCATCCAGGCTCTGCTCTAGACCTGAGTTAGAATCTTTGAGGATGGAGTCTGGCCAAGTATGTTTTGAAAAACTTTCCCCAGGTGACACTGGTGGACACCCCTGGTTGAGAAACACTGATTAAAGGGAAGGAAATCCATAGTGCCTATCTAGACTGTGAGTGGCTCACCTGCTAAAGGAGTTTACTTTTATGTTCTTTTGTAGCATTAACAACAGTAGTGTCTTCACCATTCGCTTCTTCAGAACTACAGCTGTGTGCAGTAAGTACTGATAGCTCCCTGCCTTCTTGGGAATGCAGTTTAAATGGCAAGAGCAACAATTTACTGAGTTTAATTAAAAAATGTAAAAGGAAAAATATGGACTTTCTTGTCCATATGTGATTTTCTTTTTTGCTTTTTTCCTAGAGGATGATGTTATTACAGTCAAAACCCCAGCGTTTGCAGAATCTGTCACAGAGGGGGATGTTAGGTGGGAGAAAGGTAAGATTTAGTGCCCTCTCACTTCTTAAGTTTAAATACTTTGTAAAAGTCCCCTCTGCCATCACCACCTCCATGATAATCAGTGGAACCTGTGCCTCCACCATTTTTTTTTTTTAACCGTTCAGCATACTTTCTCCTGACCCTATAGGAAAGGGGTCTTGTAACACCTGCTAAAAAGGATTTTGTGGCTACTGGAAGCTTCTCTAACAGGTAACCTTTGACTGTCTTTTCAGCTGTTGGAGACACAGTTGCAGAAGATGAAGTGGTCTGTGAGATTGAAACTGACAAGGTAGGCTTGTTCTATATTAGTGCCAATTTTTCTTGGTTTCTTAACCTAATGAAAGAAACAGAGAGTTAATCGTTGTTTAAAGATAATTTTTAACTGGCTTTAACCTCAGTTGTAGAAATGTTGGAATAGCTCATTAAAAAGAAAATAAAGCTTTAAACATTTCATTTTAGAGTGTTCTAGGTATATGTACTATATACTTTTCGTAGTTTTGTAGCTCTTTTTGTGTGTGCATGAGCTGTTTCCAGTTGCTTTTAATGTTTCACTTAGAAACACATTAACTTAATATTGCTTTCATGTTTCTGAGAAAGGACAGAAAGAATGACTCTACAATAGCATTGACTTGTCATTACTCCTGCTCTGAAAATGTGGCCTTGGCATTTCTCTATGCAGTCTTGTAATCTATGTTGCAGCTCTTATGACTCATGTTTGAGATGCTATACAATTAATTTTCTAATGCTGAGTAAAAATTTAGATTCTTTCTCCATCTCTTGTCCCTTTTCAGACATCTGTGCAGGTTCCATCACCAGCAAATGGCGTAATTGAAGCTCTTTTGGTGCCTGATGGGGGGAAAGTAGAAGGAGGCACTCCTCTGTTCACACTCAGGAAAACTGGCGGTAAAGACATTCTTGTCAAGGTCTTCAGTGTTACTCCTTGGTATTGGGGCTGAGCATAATGTACTAATTCCTTGATACCTCAAAGACAGTTTGGCATTCCAGTTACCCTTAGTTGAAGGAACAAGAAAGGTGATATTTATATAGTGTGAACTTTAAATGTCAAGTTCTAGAAAAGAGTATTAAACCTCATAATACTCTGTTCTTTCCATGTATGTTTCTTATGCTGGACCTTAAAGATATAATAGACATGAAAAAGATTCTAAAGATAGTGATTTTTTTTCTTCCCAATCCTGCATCAGAATCACACGGGGGCTTTAAAAGTAATACAAATGCTGAGACTCCATGGCCCAGGGATTCTGATATATTAAATCTAGGGTTACCAGATTCTGGTTACGTATCATAGCTTTTCTTTGCTTTTAATGCTCTACAGGTGATTCTGATACACAGCTAAGGCTGAGAGCCGCTGTTCTAAAGTGAAAAGCAGCAATATTTCCTGGTGTCTATTATGGAGAATTCAGTGTAGTTTTTTCACATCTATTCTCATAACATTTCTAGGAAGGTTTTTCTCTTGGGAAGAAATGAGAAATAAGGAAATGAATTTGTACTGGACCTTACAGTCAATATTAAGGATTAGAAAAGAAAACAATTTTTTCTGATTCTTAAATGCTGTAACTACTAAAGTTTATTTCTTTCTCATTGTTAAAATATGTAGCAGAGATGGTAGATTGCATCACTGAGATTGGCCAGGGCATCGTAGAAGCCCAGAATGGAAAGAATGTGCAGTAGAGGCTAGGGAATAAGATCGATTCTTCAGTTGAAGAATTCCATCTTCTGATAATTTATTCCTCAAAATAAGGTCTTCTAATTTAAATATAAAACCATTTACAATGTCTAGATGGGTAAAATGAAAATAAACATCTAATTTAAAGTTGAGAGTTTATTACTTGACCGCCCTCACAACCTCCTGCTAGAGTCATCTAGATGAAATGCTTTGAACTCTTAAGTGTAAATGAGCCCTTAATTATTTAAACTTTTATTTTTTAACATGGTGTTAAAATAGAAGATGAGACTGTCAGTAGTACCATAACTAGAAATATGTTAATCTATGTGTTTGAACATCTTAAATTGCCTGAGCTGCTTTTGCTTGGAAGTTTACATTTTCTTGGGCTTGGGAGCTGTTTTGAAAGTATTTGCTGAATTTGATGATTAATAAATACTTGTAAAATCAGGAAGGCAGCTGAGTTAAGTTAATTAACTGATGTAGACCATCTAGGAGCCGTGGAGAATAGACTAATAGTGCCTTATATCATTGTGTATATCTCATAGTGCCTTGCATATATAGAAAATATCCAGTGAGCATTTGTTAATTGATTGGAGATCGAGCTTTTGCTGCTAAATTCTGCTTAGTGTCTGTGATGGTTGCCTTCCATTCCAGACAGTGCCAGTAGCATCTTATTTTCTTTTTTTTCCAGCTGCTCCTGCTAAGGCAAAGCCAGCCGAAGCCCCCGCTGCCGCAGCCCCCAAAGCAGAGCCTGTAGCATCGGCAGTTCCTCCTCCCCCTGCAGCATCTATACCCACTCAGATGCCCCCGGTGCCCTCGCCCTCACAACCTCCTGCTAGCAAACCGGGTAAGCCTCCAACTCCCATGTGTCCTTATGTGGGAGGAACATCTCATCTAATGTCGCATTCCCTCACAGAGCAAAGTCTGAGACTAATGGCTCTGAACAGGCTCTACTCTCTGCTTTGTAGAAAGAATTCTAGACTTTGTATCAGCGCACTTGGGTTTGCATCCCAGCTTTCTGTTTATAGCTGTATGACTTTTGGCTGGTTACTCAACTACTCAGAGTAAATTGTTCATTTGTAATTTGGGAATGGCACAAATATATCTCAGAATATCTTGATAATTAAGTGACAGAACAGTATGAAAGCACTGGCACAAACTCAATAAATGTTTCTCTCATTTTCTGATGCAGCTGTATTCCCCCCTCTTTGTTTTCAGTGTCTGCAGTAAAACCCACTGCTGCTCGTCCAGTAGCTGAGCCAGTAGTTGGCAAAGGTCTCCGTTCAGAACATCGGGTAAGCCTCTGAGGACCACTTCCAGGAAAGAGGCAGAGAGGTAGTATTGAGAAGTGTGGGTATGGTGGTCCCTACTTTTGAATGGCTGGCTGCTTGTTCTCTTGGCCTTGACAGGAAAACTGAGTTTGGGAAGTGACTTGTTCATAGTCATGAATGGTCAGATGATGGGACTGAACCTGAGTGAACACTTGTCCAGTGGGTTTTCCCACTATGTTATGCCACCACTGAAATGCTTTAAGTGAGTAAAATATTTGCAGGGATGGTAGCTTAGTAACACACCCCCTCCCTCCCACAATAATACACACTTCGGAGAGGTGGTTTAGTGAGTTCTATTCCTATACTTCCGGGATACTTAGCTGAGGGCTACCCAGTAGCAGTAGTTGTCAGAGGCAGACATAAAACCTCAAGGAAGTATGGTCAAGAGTGTGGGTTCCTCTGTCTGAGAATACCTCCTAAAAATACGATAGCCTCAAAAGCTTATTGCTTGTGAGTTTCCATTCCACAAATAGCTATTCTCATGCGAGTCATTATCACCAGAAATTGTCCCTTCTATAATGATTCCTGGTCTATACCACACTCTTCCTTTTCATAAGTTGGTTTTGTTTTTCAAATCAGACCATTTCTTGGGCCTCCATTCTTGGTCAAACTTTAGGCACATCTGAGTGAGTAGTTTCTGTCTATGTTTTCTTGTTCTCGATCAAAAGAACAAGTCTGCAGGAGAGAGGAAGCCTGAGACTCTCGTTGTACGTAGATATTAATAGTCCTTTATCATCCACTCCTGGCAGGTAGGTACGCCCTTAAACTAAATGGGGGAGTGCTTGATCCAGAGACCCAGAGTGTCAATACTTATCGCACTTTCACTTTCAGGAGAAAATGAATAGGATGCGGCAGCGCATTGCTCAGCGTCTGAAGGAGGCCCAGAACACATGTGCAATGCTGACAACTTTCAATGAGATTGACATGAGGTGAGAGTTCTAGTCCTCTTATTTCCAGGCCCCTTTTTTTAAAGAACACTTAAATTTGCCCCAGTCCCCATCTAATGCTGATTTCAAAATTTACTTAACAGGGAAGAGGTACTGCTTCGTTCTGCTTATTGACTTAAATAGTGGCCCACTGGTTTCGTTCTCTCATTGACTGCTAATACTATGCCTGCCTCCTCTGTGACTTAAACTCTGTGAGTTGCCAAGTTGAGCTAGGGCAACCAGGGCTTATGCCGAGGTCTACCCCTTAGAATGGAGAACCACTTGACAGAATTCCCAGAGCCAGCGCACCATACCGTTTCTTTCTCACAGGGACTGCTCTTTATGCTCCTTCAACAACTCAGAATTGTGTCAGTGAAAAGGCATAGGTTTGTTACACCTTTCACCTTTCCCAGCTTTGATAATGAAATGGAAAACAAGTTGTGTTTTTTTAAAAAAATTTAGAATAGTAACCAAAGGGGCTAATGTAGTACAGTGGGTCCGCGAATAATGTTGTTTTGTTCAACATCATATTGTTATAACATTAATGAGATGTTGTAGGAACTTAACTCTTATTTATATCAATTAGCCTGTGGCAAGATTGGTTTCTTTATACATCATTTTGCTTAAAGTCATAGAGCCTGTCAACGGTGTTAAGTGAGGACTTACTGTATAACCATTTCTGTAGCAAGCTAATTGTTGACTCACCTATTTTCTTTAAGATTTTGATATTTACAAGTATTAGCACTATAGGGAAGAGAATGAAGTTAAATTTAACAAGTATTTTTTGAATGCTTACTGTGTTCAAGGTACCATGCTGCATTTGAGGGGGGTACAAAGATGAATGAAAAGAGCCCCTTAGCTTCTAGAGCTTACTGTCTGGTGTGGATAAACACAGAGTAAAATCTAGAAAAATATTTATCAGAAGGGTCCAAAGAGTGTGAAGTGAAGAGAATGAGATCATTTGTTTTTGGGGCGGGGCAGAAGAAGGGAGGGTGTGGTCAGGAAAGATTTTTCTGGAGGAAAGAGATTTTTAATAGGCCTTAAAAAACGACTGGCATTTTGACACAGGTAACATTGTGGGGAAAGGTCATTCCAGACGATGCTAACAATGTGGATTTGACACAGACGAGAAAATACAAGACACGTTTGAGAAATATTTGCTATGAGGAATATGTGTAGGAAGGAATAGTTAAGAAAGTTGGATCCGTAGTTCAGAATATTTTGAATAACAGGGATAAGAGTTGATGTTTAATTCAGGGGGTAAATCATCAAGTCTTCAGGTCATTTCTTTGCTGCTTTTTGTCCTAAGTGTTTAGTCTGATAATCTGTTTTTCATTAAAGAAATTTGTTTTCCTTTGGAAGGGATCTGAGAAGTATAGAGAAAGGAATGGTTTATTGACAGTGTGCTGTGGCATTGTTCAGAGTAGGGCTCTGTGACCTGTTTCAATAGATGTCATCCATTCTGTTTTCGAAGCTTCCTAAAAAGACTTGATGTCATTCAAAACAAAGATTTCTCTCCTGTCCATAGCATATAGGGTAGGACCTTGACTAATGAATCACAAAGACTGCAGCTTAGGTTTCAATGCATTAGGGCCAAATTGTACACAAATTGAATTGGACTTTGAAATTCTACCCAATTTCTTAAGACGAAACATGTAAATATTTGTTGCCTTGAAAGATGCAGTTGGCCCAACAGCTTTGATTGGAAGGTGGGAGTAATAGTTGGATCTCCTTTCAGCAGCTAATCGAGGTGTCACTTAACGATAGCCTGGGGTCTTGCTGCAGTCAGTAATCTGGTTTCCATCGAGTGCCCTTTGGGTCTTGTGCTGAGCTAACCCATAAGGGGCCTTTCTGAGACCTTCTCCTCTCCCCTGTTGTCCCAGCCTCTGCCTCCAAGGGCATAGCTCTGAAATAGAAACTACTTAATGACCAGACAATAGCATTTGGGCAGGTTTGAGAGCAGAGATGTTTATCACTTCTCTT